TCCTTTGTAAAATGTATCTTGATAATTATTGTCAATGCAAACGGGATTATGATGTTCATGGCAGTTTGTGGAACTCTCTCCTTTAGTAGTTTTGCATAATTATAACTTTTCAAAGCCAGAACTTGAAGATTTATCAATATTGCCATCTAAGGATCTCTTTTAGACTGCACAATCAAGAACTAGACACAACAAATTCTTAAATGTCAGCACTGAAACTTGGAGTGCCGTGGTTTCCCATATTAATACACAGACTGAGGGATCTGGTCAGGGATCAAATCTCAGACTGACTGACTACAGGAAATTAAATTGGTTAAAAGGGATGCCAAAATAAAATCACAACAACTCACTTTTTCCCATCTTAGAAATCTTTACACATCATACGAATATACATGAAATACAAATTTAAAATAACTTTAAGGTCAAATGAAGCTGAAGAAAGCCTCAAAGGGCCTAGGACTTAAACACAAGGGTGGCAATTAAAGGAGAGAAGTGTGGCTTTTGCAGCCACAGCTACATTAGGGTGGGGATTGAGGGGGCGCACTGCCTTAGTGGCAGCTGCTGGAGGTGTCGTATAGTATAGGTATCCTGTATAGTCCCAATACAGGTTCTGTGCCCCACGGGAGCAAACTCAGAAGTGGCAGCTACAAAAAGGTTTCAGTATAAACTCCCGTCAGTGCTGGACTCTGAGGCCTGGTCTACACTGAGTTTAATTCGAATTTAGCAGCGTTAAATCAAATTAACCCTGCACGCGTCCACACAACAAAGCCATTTATTTCAAAATAAAGGGCTCTTAAAATCGATTTCTGTACTCCTCCCCAACGAGGGGAGTAGCGCCGAAATCGATATTGCTATTTCGAATTAGGGTTAGTGTGGCCGCAATTCAATGGTATTGACCTCCGGGAGCTATCCCACAGTGCACCATTGTGACCGCTCTGGACAGCAATCTGAACTCGGATGCACTGGCCAGGTAGACAGGAAAAGCCCCGCGAACTTTTGAATTTTATTTCCTGTTTGCCCAGCGTGGAGAGCACAGGTGACCACAGAGAGCTCATCAGCACAGGTAACCATGCAGGCCGAGAATCGAAAAAGAGCACCAGCATGGTCCGTATGGGAGGTACTGGATCTGATCGCTATATGGGGAGAGGATTCAGTGCTAGCAGAACTACATTCCAAAAGACGAAATGCCAAAACTTTTGAAAAAATCTCCAAGGGCATGATGGAGAGAGGCCACAATAGGGACTCAGACCAGTGCTGCGTGAAAGTTAAGGAGCTCAGACAAGCCTATCAAAAAACAAAGGAGGCAAATGGTCGCTCTGGGTCAGAGCCGCAGACATGCCGCTTCTATGCTGAGCTGTATGCAATTCTGGGGGGGCCGCCACCACTACCCCACCTCTGACCGTGGATTCCGAGGCGGGGGTAATCTCAGCCACACCTGAGGATTCTGCGGACGGGGAAGAGGAGGAAGAGGAGGACGAGGACGAGCTTGCGGAGAGCACACAGCACTCCGTTCTCCCCAACAGCCAGGATCTTTTTCTCAGCCTGAGTGAAGTACCCTCCCAATCCTCCCAAGGCAGTATCCAAGACCATGACCCCATGGAAGGGACCTCAGGTGAGTTTACCTTTTAAAATATAAAACATGGTTTAAAATCAAGCGTTTTTTAAAGATTAATTTGCCCTGAGGACTTGGGATGCATTCGCGGCCAGTACAGCTACTGGAAAAGTCTGTTAACGTGTCTGGGGATGGAGCAGAAATCCTCCAGGGACTTCTCCATGAAACTCTCCTGGAGGTACTCCAAAAGCCTTTCCACAAGGTTTCTGGGCAGTGCAGCCTTATTCCGTCCTCCATGGTAGGACACTTGACCACGCCATGCTAGTAGCAAATAATCTGGTATCATTGCATGACAAAGCCTGGCAGCGTATGGTCCCGGTGTTTGCTGGCATTCAAGCAACATCCGTTCTTTATCTCGCTGTGTAATCCTCAGGAGAGTTATATCGCTCATGGTAACCTGGTTGAAATACGGGAATTTAATTAAGGGGACAGAGGTGGCCCTTCCTACTGTGCTGTTTGCCTGTGGCTCAAAAGAAATCCTTCCCTGTAGTTAGCCAAGCGGGGGGGCGAGGTAATTGGCGCTGAGCTTTTCACGTTTGGCTAGCAGGGATCTTCCCTGATACCAGCCATGCGGTGGGGGGAGGTATAAAGCGATCATCCCAGAGAATTGGATGGGGGGGGGTGTTAGTTTGTTTTCTGCTGCTGCAGGTTAACAGGAAAACCGCAGCACTCAACGGGCTTTGCTTGGTATGTGGGAAAGGAGGGTGCAGAAGCCGAAAGACAATGGCTTACCATGGCCGCATGCAAGCCGAATTCTGTTGCCCGGACCTGCGTCTGTGATCTCTAACACCAAAGCCACAGGCACTCAATATTAAGATGCAAAATGCGACCTTGCACTGAAATCACATGTGCTATGTAATGTGAATAGTAGTGTTCACCATGAAAGAGTATAAGCATTGTTCTGTAAAATGTATCTTTTTAAAAACTTCTCTCCTTTTTTCCCTCCCTCCAGCAGCTGCAAATTTTTCAAGCCTCCCTCCTCCGTCCCGAAGGCTATCTCAGATAAGGCGGCGGAAAAAGAGGACACGAGACGAGATGTTCTCGGAAATCATGGAATCCACCCGCAATGAAAGAGCTCATTTGAATGAGTGGAAGGACATGGTCTCAAAGTACAGGAAAGATGCCAGTGAACGGAGGTCATGAGGGACACTTGAGATGAGAGGTGGCAGGCTGCAACGCTGGGGCTGCTGTGTGATCAAACGGACATGCTCCGGTGTCTGGTGGAGCTTCAGGAACAGCAGCAAGATCACAGAGTGCCGCTGCAGCCGCTGTTTAACCTCCTTCTCCCCTCACCATGTTCCATAGCCTCCTCACCCACACGTGTAAGAACACGGGGGGGAGGCTCCGTGCACCCTCCCACTCCACCCCAGTGGACAGCCCAACCAAAAGGCTGTCATTATATTGAATTTTTTTAGTGGCCTTTTCCTTCCCTCCTATCCTCCTCCCAAACCCCACCCGGGCTACCTTGTCAGTTCTCTCCCTATGTTCATAATCAATTAATAAAGAATACATGATTTTTAAACAATAGTGACTTTATTTCCTTTGAAAGCAAGCTGTGATCGAAGGGGGAGGGTGGTTTGCTTACAGGGAATGAGTCAATCAAGGGGGCGGGTTTTCAACAAACAGAACTTTCACACCGTAGCCTGGCCAGTCATGAAACTGGTTTTCAAAGCTTCTCTGATGCGCAGCGCTTCCTGGTGTGATCTTCTAATCGCCCTGGTGTCTGGCTGCGCATAATCAGCAGCCAGGCGATTTGCCTCAGCCTCCCACCCCGCCATAAAGGTCTCCCCCTTACTCTCACAGAGATTGTGGAGCACACAGCAAGCAGCAATAACAATGGGGATATTGTTTTGGCTGAGGTCTGAGCGAGTCAGTAACGTGCGCCAGTGACCTTTTAAATGTTCAAATGCACATTCTACCACCATTCTGCACTTGCTCAGCCTGTAGTTGAACAGCTCCTGACTGCTGTCCAGGCTGCCTGTGTATGGCTTCATGAGCCATGGCATTAAGGGGTAGGCTGGGTCCCCAAGGATAACTATAGGCATTTCAACATCCCCAATAGTTATTTTCTGGTCCGGGAAGTAAGTCCCTTGCTGCAGTCGTTTAAACAGAGTAGTGTTCCTGAAGACGCAAGCGTCATGAACCCTTCCCGGCCAGCCCAAGTTGATGTTGGTGAAACGTCCTTTGTGATCCACCAGTGCTTGCAGCACCATTGGAAAGTACCCCTTGCGGTTTATGTACTGGGTACCCTGGTGCTCCGGTGTCAAGATAGGGATATGGGTTCCATCTATCGCCCCACCACAGTTAGGGAATCCCATTGCAGCAAAGCCATCCACTCTGACCTGCACATTTCCCAGAGTCACTACCTTTCGTAGCAGCAGCTCAGTGATTGCTTTGGCTACTTGCATCACAGCAGCCCCCATAGTAGATTTGCCCACTCCAAATTGATTCCCGACTGACCGGTAGCTGTCTGGCGTTGCAAGCTTCCACAGGGCTATTGCCACTCACTTCTCAACTGTGAGGGCTGCTCTCATCTTGGTATTCTGGCGCTTCAGAGCAGGGGAAAGCAAATCACAAAGTTCCATGAAAGTGCCCTTATGCATGCGAAAATTTTGCAGCCACTGGGAATCGTCCCACACCTGCAACACTATGCGGTCCCACCAGTCTGTGCTTGTTTCCCGGGCCCAGAATCGGCGTTCCACGGCTATAACTTGTCCCATTAACAGCATGATCTCCAAAGCGCCAGGGCCCGCGGTTTGATAGAATTCCATGTCCATGTCCTCATCATTCTCGTCGCCGCGCTGCCATAGCCTACTCCTTGTTGCCTGGTTTTGCAGGTTCTGGTTCAGCATAAACTGCACGATAACGCGCGAGGTGTTTACAATGTTCATGACTGCTGTCTTGAGCTGAGCGGGCTCCATGCTTGCCGCGATATGGTGTCTGCAGTGTTCACCCAGGAAAAAGGCGTGAAACAGTTGTCTGCCGTTGCTTTCCCGGAGGGAGGAGGAGGATGTACCCAGAACCACCCGCGATAATGTTTTTGGCCCCATCAGGCTTTGGGATCTCAACCCAGAATTCCAATGGGCGGAGGAGACTGCGGGAACTATGGGATAGCTATGGGATAGCTACCCACAGTGCAACGCTCCGGAAATCGACGCTAGCCCCGGTACATGGACGCACACTTCCGAATTAATGTGCTTAGTGTGGCCGCATACATTCGACTTTATACAATCTGTTGCCAAAAATCGAATTCTGTAAATTTGGATTATTCCCGTAGTGTAGACATACCCTGAGTGTTACAAGGATAGAATGAGCCACACCCCAACCCACCCTCCCGTGCACCCTTGTAAAGGGGAAGGTGGAGTCATGTTAGCCTCTCCCCTTGCACTTAGGTAGTGCAGAGACTAGTATTCAGGATGGCCATGTGTAGGTGTACAAGAGTTGCAGGGAGAAGAGGGGTGCAGTAGGCCACAATCTTGTGCTAGATTAAAGGGCAAATAAGGGGGCTCTTTCATGGTTTTGTAGGAGGTGCTGAGGACCAGGGGAAATCCACAATACTGTACAGTGGAAGGCCTGCATAGGGTTCTCAATCCCTTCAATGTAAATGTATTTTAAGAGGCAAGCAAGCAAGCAGATTTTTTCAAACATTTCACGTCTTGCCAAGTTTCATATCACTAGCCACTTTTAAAAATTATTATCCTCATCATCCTGCCTGAAAATGTAGTACAGAAGTTATTAGACTATGGGCTTCAAGCCCCCTTGGAATCTATCCATGGACTCCAACTCCATCATGGTGCTGCAGCCACCTCAGTGCAAGTACAGGTGCGAAGTTCTAAAAATGACTTCCAGCTCCCTCTCTGATAAAAGGGCAAGGGGTTGAAGCCAGGGGCTGGGGTAAGCACATTGACTAGTCTTTACAGCTTTTGGGGGCCTTGACCTCCTGAGGTCCCTTCCAGCTCTGATATTCTATGATTCTATGAAGCAAGGGGTGGATTCTGTTTCTGTGGCAAAATTCACAGCCAGGGAACAGCAGAAACCACTGTTCCCTGAATATGCACACACACTTATATTATAGATAGCGCAAGTTATAGAACTATAAAACTTTGCATGCATACACACTTTTCAAAGCATATTAATGCAACAAGTGTCATATAGGGTGTGTGCATGTGCAAAGTGGCAAACATACAGCTAGGGACTGAAAATTAAACCCAGAATACGCTAGCAAGAAAATCTAGTTCTTGGTTTCACTCTTCATGTTTCTTTGGTCTTGTATTTGGAATACAAGCAGTACAAAACCTGCAATGTAGTCTTCATATCTCTGTTCACGATATCTGTGGATACACAAGAAAGAAAGAAGCCTGCTGGGAAACATTAGAAATCCTTGAGATAGAGAGACTGCAAATGTCAAAGCATTGAAGGTAATCTTTCAATTTCTCCAAATTACAATCTAACTAAAGCAAGAACCAAAACAGGAAATGTAAAGCTATCAGATTTTCTTGATTTCTTAAATGACTTAGGAGAAGAAAAAGGGTCCTTTACCACTTTACCACATTGGAATAAGGATCAGTAATATACAATAAGAAACAATTCTTCACTGGCAGACAGCAGAGCAGATAATTTAATAAGACTCGATAACTGTATTTTTTGTAATTCTATTATAATGTGACTAGTAGCAGACATTGCCTTAACTCTTCATTTCCTGGCTTTGTAGTGTTTGCATTTTGTTCTGTGGCGTGTATTTCCTGCTTTTTGAAGGTTGCAGTTTTCAGCTGCTAACTGCCATATTCTGAAAGTACATGAGGTTCTGCTAAGCAACCTCAGCTCATGTTTGAAAAAGATTTTTGCTAGTTAATACATCAATGTGTATGCAAACTACTACTGCTTCCAAACGATGAGAGACGGGCTTGCTGCTCCTCTTAAAGTAATGTAAATGTATGGCTTTGTACGGAACATAGACCTGCGGTAGAACCAGTAGGCCAGATCTTCAGCAGGTGTAAACAGTGTAGTTCCATTAAGCACCAACACTCATCAGCTGAGGATCTTTCCTAAGTAGCTGTACATAAATAATACACAGATGTTGGAGTTTATATTTCCTACATTAATGAACTGTAGACATTATTTGAGGCAATCCTCCACATTTAGAGAAATGGATGTCCAATGCTTTTAACCTGCTCACAGAAAAGGTACACCCAGAGGCTTTCACAGATTTGGTTTTCCTAGTTTAACTAGAACGGTTCACTGAAATCCAAGTTCCATATATAGGGCATGAAGGCTCCAATTTTTCTCTGCATTCTCACAAATCGCTCGCATTGACATTAATGACAGCTACCCATGAGTAGAGCTGGTTGGAAAAAAACATTCAAAACAAAATGTTAATGAAAAAAAATAACCAAAAATTTTAAAAATTCCCACACCTTCCATTTTTTGATCGGCTCTACCCAACAATGTAGGTACAGATAGATGACCTCTCCATATGCTGATATATACACATACCCCAATCTTGTTCATGAGTGGACTACCCAACTGGGAAAAGATGCCATTGTTAACACTGGAACAGCTTTCTGGGGAACATGGTAAAATGCCCATCACTTAACATCTTTAAATAAAGACTTGAGGTCTCTCTAAAATATATGCTCTAGTTCAACCAAACGTTATTGGGCTTCATTCAGGAATGATTGGGTGAAATTGAATGGTCTATGTGGTTTAGGAGCTTGGACTAGATGATCATAATGGTCCCTTCTGTCTCTAAAAATCTACTAATCCATTCACATCCTGATTTTGGCAACGAGGTCAACACACTTACTCCTATGTGGTAATTTCAGCAACTACTGATGTATCTTACATCATTTAATTCTTGGTTTAAATGGTGTTAACTTACCAAACAGTGGGTATTGTAACAACAGAACTTCTTTTTCTTTAGTGGAGACTAGATTGTTAAAATATGAGATATATACAGGAGATGTGTAGCAAAGGAAATGTTATGAAATATGCGGTTGTCCTGTTGGAGGAGATTCTCTAGCTGATTATCTTAGCTTTTCATGAACCAGAGCAAGAATCATTCTCTTCCAGAACAATTACTATGTTATGACTCACCTTCAGCATTGACAGGAAAATCTAGAAGACCTCCATCTGTCAGCAAAGCCACTGCAAGGTTAACATTGTGAAGCTGTTGATCAGAAGAGATTAATGAAACAGAAAGTGAACTCTGGCCAAATATAGATAGTGCATGCTTTATTCCTTTGGTAGTTGAAATGGGAGTTAGCATTGCTGCACCAACATTTTTTTCATACTCTCTTTAGTTCTAGTGGAAAGCTTATAATCACTTCTATCAATTACCAAATCAGAAAAATAGAAACCAAATTTCCTTTAAAAATTATATGAGAAGGGACGTAGAAAGATCAATTCATTTAAAATTTTTCTGAAAATCTTGCATTAATGAGAGCCCCCAAAATTAAAAGTTTGATAAAACATAGGGAAATTTTTAACATAAAATGAAATTTGCAGAAAGTATTCTATTTTTCATTTAAAATCCTAAAGGTTTGAATTTTTCTGAGCAGCTGTAAATGTGAACATTAGGGTAATGTTTTAACATACAAAGGTCTACATGCATACTAAATATTATTGATGATATCATCATGGATATCACACTTGAGATATTAAGGATCAAATATTTTTCAATTCTTTTGTACTTCCTTTCTTGGCTGACTGCTTCTTCCCATCAGGAAAACAGCATTGCAAATGCATGAATTCATTCATAAGTGACTTTACAAAATGACAACAAAGCAGTTGATTTTTATTTATTTCCAGTTAAAATCCAGATCCCATTCCCCTCTTGATTTTAACATACTAAAGGCAAGTTGTCTATTTAGGTTCTGTCACAAGACTATTCCTTTAATGAAGTAAGAACAAAAAAAACCACAAATTGCTTCCTTAGCCATTCTACTTGCTACTGATCAGTTTTTCCTTCAGGAGGTACTGTGTACAGTGCAGGCATGCTGTGCTTTTTTACCTCCCCATGTTACACACTTACGTCCTACCATGCATAAGCTGAGCAAGAGCTGTATTTTATTCTGAACTAAAGTGATACCTTTATGTTCCACCTGGTTTTGTGATTTACAGACAACAATGACCAAGAGTTTGAAAGTAGGTTTAGATTCTTCTTCAAACCCATGGCAGACAAGGAAAATGCGAGGATTATATAGAGCTACAAACTGTTTACCCTGGGATTAATAAATAAAATGATTGTTTAATGAAGTCACCGAGTGAGGAGGGTCAGATGTTCCCCACAGCAAGTTCATGAGACTTCCACATAAAGGTAGAATGCTGATCTTTTATATAAATCTTAAGACACAGTACTGACATTTATTACTCATAGGCAAACTGATTTGGATAAAGGGAGTATATTCATCTTTCTGCACTTCTAGATGGAACCAGAACCACTGGAATACTGTTCAGCATTTCCAGCCTGATAGGAAGTTGGAAATATGAGAAGTCTTGGATAAAAATCTACGCTAGTGGTTATAGACTCTTCTGCCCTATGCCACTAGCTTGTCTTTGTCCCCATCTCTTCCTCTCTATCATCTGACATGTCCTCTTTCCTGCCTGAACACAGAAGAGAGTTCATGTGCATGAAGTGCAAGCTGGTGGCTGTGCTGGAAGAAAAGATTCTTGGATTGGAGGGGCAAGTAGAGATACTACTAAGAATCAGAGAAGCTGAGGAGGTCCTAAACAGCCCAATCCAGGAAACACCCCAGGTTCAAGGAAGAAGGGAGCTGGCCACCGAGGAATCAAAAAGAGAGGAAGTCAGAGAGGAAGCCTGGCAGTTTGTAACCACCAGAGGCAGAAGGTCATGGTCAAACTTCCTTGCAAAGAGGTCTCCAACTGTCCAAGGTAGATAGATTATTCTTGTTGGAGATTCATACTCAGAAGAATCAAAAGAACATTCTACAAGGGACAGGCAGACAACAGGACAGTGTGATGATTTCCTAAAGCCAAGAAATGAGACACCACTCTAAGACTGGATCGGCTTCTGAAGTTGACTATTGGTGATGATGCCTATTGGAACTAATGACACTGCATTGTGGGATATTTTGCAGATAGTAGATGACTTCGGGGAACTTGGGAGTGTTCTGAAGAAGAAGAAGAATGTCCAAGTGATCTCTGAGATCCTTCCTGTCCCATGAGTGAAAGAAGACAAACGGCAGAAGATTCTGGAAGTGAATTGCTGGCTAGGTAAGTGCTCTGGGTTTGGTTTTGTGGAATATTGATCCACTTTCTATGAGGAGTGGGGATTATATAGTTTGCATGTCCTCCAACTCAGTAGTAGGGGAACCAAACACTTCAGGGACAGGCTGGCTAGAGTAATCAGGAGGGAGCTAAACTAATAGGGTAAAAAGAGGAAAGATATGAGCACTCAGCACAAAATTGAGATGTTGAAAACAAAATTAATCAAGGACACAAAGAGAAGAAATTATTGAATTGCCTATACACTAATGTTAGGAGCCTGAGTAATAAAGAAGAGGAATTGGAATTGTTCATTTATGAGCATAAATTTGACCTAGTTAGCATTACTGAAACATGGTGAGATGATTCTCACATTTGGAATGTTAAAATCAATGGTTATAACCTATTTAGAAAGGATCAAGTAGGGAAAAGGGGAGGGAGAGTGGCACTGTTTGTCAACAGTAGCATTACCTGTTGTTTCCAAATCACTGATAACTTAGAAGAAAATTATCTTCAATGCTTACGGAGTAATGTCCTAACAGATAAAACACACAGATGGTCTAGAGCAGACACCAACTGTTATTCCACCAAATCAGTGTTAGGAACAGGATAACCACCTCCTTTGCACTTATCTATAACGTGTAGGAAAATAAGCTGCATGATCATGAGGGACTTCAATCTGCGTGACATATGCTGGAGATCTCATGCTGCCAGTACTAAAACATCCTGGGAATTTCTAAACATTATAGATGACAATTTCCTAAAAAAAAAAAGTGTTGCAATCTACATAGGAAAATTCTTTATTAGACCTTCTCCTAACAGATAAAGAGGAACTGACCACAGAACTAAAAATTAGTGGTAGCTTAGGTACAAGCGATCATATACAGCTGGTTCTTTAATGGGGCCAATTTCACAAAGCTGAAAACAATTATGAGCCAAATCAGCTAGAAGGAAGAATTTAATCAGAAAAATGTGAATGATAATTGGGAATCATTTAAGAAAATCTTACTAGATTCCCCAGAAGCCACAATCAAGGGACAATCCTGTGCTGGTTAAAACAATGGCTTGGTTTAGAAGGGGCGGGGGGAGGAGGGGAAGAGAGAGAGTGTAAGTAAAAACAAATGGAATAATGGGGAATCTGCTAGTAATGAATATAAATCAGAAGTTGGGAATTGTAGAAAAATGATAACAGAAGCAAAGGGACACAGGAAAAAATATGGCCAGCAGAGTTAAGGACAATTAGAAGGGTTTTTTAAAATATATTAGAAACAAAAGAATCCTGACAATAGTATTGGTCCATTGCTAGATGGAACTGGTAGAATTATCAATAACAATGCAGAAAAGGCAGAAGTGGTCAATAAATATTTCTAGTCTGTATTTGAGGGGGAAAACAGATGATATAGTCTCTTCATATGGTGAACATAACACTCTTTCCATTCCACTAATTTCTCTGGAGGATGTTAAACAGAAGCTACTAAAGTTAGACATTTTAAATCAGCAGGTCCAAATAACTTCCATCCAAGGATTTTAAAAGAGCTGGCTGAGTAGCTCGCTGGATCATTAATGTTGATTTTCAATAAGTCTTGGAGCACTGGGGAAGTTTTCAAAAAACTGGAAGAAAGCTAACGTTGTGTAAATTTTTAAAAAGGGTAAACAGAATGACCCTGGTAATTATAGGCCTGTCAGCCTGACATGGATCTCAGTCAATATAATGGAGCAGCTGATATAGGACTCAATTAATAAAGAATTAAAGAAGGGTAAAGTAAGTAATGCAAATCAACATGGGTTTATGGAAAATAGATTAAATCAAACTAACTTGATATCTTTTTTAGCTGAGGTTACAAGTTGGGTTGTTAAAGGTAATGAGGTTGACATGAGCCTTGGCTACACTTGTGAGTTGCAGCGCTGTAAAGCCGCCCCCAGCGCTGTAACTCACTCCCCGTCCACACTGGCAAGGCATTTGCAGCGCTGTATCTCCATGGTTGCAGCGCTGCATGTACTCCACCTCTCCGAGAGGAATCGCGAGTGCAGCGCTGCTGCTGCAGCGCTGCGGCGCCAGTGTGGCCGCCCAATGCGCTGTGAATGGCCTCCAGAATTATTCGGCAGTATCCCACAATGCCTGTTCTAGCCACTCTGGTCATCAGTTCAAACTCTACTGCCCTGGCCTCAGGTAATCAACCATGTGACCGACCCTTTACATTCCCCGGGAATTTTAAAAATCCCCTTCCTGTTTGCTCAGCCCGGTGTGGTGTGGAGTGCTATCAGCGAATCTTTCCAGGTGACCATGCCTCCACGCACCAAGCGAGCCCCAGCATGGAGCAATGGCGAGTTGCTGGACCTCATCAGTGTTTTGGGGGGAGGAAGCTGTACGGTCCCAGCTGCGCTCCAGCTGTAGGAATTACGATACCTTCGGGAAGGTATCAAAGGACATGATGGAAAGGGGCCATGACCGGGACGCCCTGCAGTGCAGGATTAAAGTGAAGGAGCTGCAGAGTGCCTACTGCAAAGCCCGCGACGCAAATGGCCGCTCGGGTGCTCCCCCCGCGACCTGCCGATTCTACAAAGAGCTGGATGCGATACTTGGGGTTAACCCCACCTCCACTCCGAGCACCACCATGGACACTTCAGAGCCGGGGGGGGGGGAGGAGGAAGAGGAGGAGGAAAACGGGAGTGATGGTGGTGGGCCTGATGGAGGCACCCCGGAATCCCTGGAGCCATGCAGCCAGGAGCTCTTCTCAAGCCAGGAGGAAGGTAGCCAGTCGCAGCGGCCGGTACTTGGTGGAGGACAAACGGAAGAGCAGGTTCCCGGTAAGCAGGTTTTTTTTTCGGGAAGGAATTTTTTCGGTGCGGGATCTTTGGGAGAGGAGGGTTAGGCATGCATGCCTAGATGCGGAATAGTGCATTGATGTGGTTTATCACATCGCGGTAATCGGCCTCGGTAAT